ATATTATTTAATCACCTTCATTTCTTCCAATAAATGAACTACTTACTGCCTGTCCTCTGGTTTTTTCCTCGCGTCTCGTTCTCGTGGGACATTGCTTCTGCGATCCCGTCCGTGACAGCTGATTGTCGATTCGGGTCCTGTGATTCATATTGCGTGGTTGGTGTTCCGAATTCCGTGCGTACTACTACTACTACTACTACTACACACATTACACATTCATTCTATTTATTGCCTTCGGTGCGTTCTGAACGTCCAGTATAATTGACCAATGAGAAACGTTGAACCGTCCGTTCGATCATTTCGGCCCCGGAAACACCCAGTTGCTGCTTTATTCTTTTGGCTATTTTCGCCAAAAATATGAATTCTTCGATCGCATTTTTTTGGAATTTAACCTTCCTGACACTTTGCGACATGGAGTTGAGCACTTGCGAATTCCTGAATTTGCATTTACACTCATCTGAGATGGAAGAATGGGTGGAACGGATCGAGCTCTCAAGCAATGTATGTTAGAACGGAAAACTGGAACAGTCCATATTATTTCGCACACTCGATGGAAACGAAATGTATCCACTTCTGAAAAAATCTCACTTTACCTGATAATCTAGCCAAATAATCATCTCAAACGCTGCAAATTACTTTAACCCATTATTTGCATTTCCCCAGACAGCCTTTGAATGGCCGCGACTCGTTCCAGAAAGTTTGATGCACATTTCGGTAACCAGTAAACAAAAAATGAAGTAAAAACAGTTATTTATTATTATTTTACGTCAGTCCCATTGATTTCTGAACTACGTTGTAGATGAAATTCAATTTCTTGGTTCGTGCTGAGTCGATGCCGCGTGAAGATTCATTCCTTTCATTCAACAGACAGACATCCAGGTGCAATTATAAAGAAAAGGCCTGATCGTCTTATTGGAGGCATTCGAAAAAGTTTACGCTTGTCTTTTATGTATGACTTATAGCGAATTCTACCTACTATCCAGCCGACAATTCAGGGATGCGAAATGTCATTCTTGTGATAAAGTTGGTCAGAATGTATGCAGTCTACGGAAATGCAAACTGGTGAAGAGTACAACTTGTTGTCAAGACTAACCCAACCCAAAGTATACATTACGGACCACGGGTGAATACAAGCCTTTCATTTAAAAGTATATTGTTTTCGAATACGAAGTCTAAGGCAGTTTTATTGTGAACACAGGCAGCGGTGAGTCCATCATTTCACGTGGAACTCTAGAACATCCCTGTCCAAATGCTACCCGGAAACCAACTACAACAAGAATCTATAGTGTAACTGGGCTCCGTCTTCCACGATTGAAGGAAACAACCTTTGTTATACATTCCTGTGACAACAGCTTCGTGCCCATTCGATTCATGGTATCACAATACAGTCCGTCTATTTACTGATTGATAGCAATGAGCAATGATACGTACGCATTCGTTTATCCGTTCCCATTGATCGTCCAATCACGTGATGCAGTTGTTCATAGCAGGCATTGACTAATAATTCTGTAATCCGTTTCGTCTATGAGCCAGCTTGACCGAGTTTTAGGCCACTGTTTAATCGATTGATGCATTCTCACGATCATTCATCAAATCGTTAACCCAATTCCCATCAGGAAACTCTCTTGTATGCTCTAATTTCTTGTGTTGAATTACGGGCTCCTAAAATACTGTGCATTGCGTTGCGGTTGGAATTCGGTTTTAACAAGCAAACTGGGGGCATTCGGTATCTTTACATTCAACTGAACTGATTTTCAGTACCGCCGAAAAATCCGATAGCTGGGCGTTGGTGGCCCGGTGGTAACGTCACCAAAAATTATCACCCCGGGGATGTGTGTTCGAATCCTACCACCACCGACTGACTTTCCCCATTCTGTGTGTTGAATGGCAGCCCTTTGATTGGCCGCTTCCACCTTCCTGAAAATTGTACCATTGCATAATCAATAATCAATCAATAAATAAATAAATAAGTAAAATAAAAAGATTAAAAAAAAGATACGATGCACTGGTAATACGGGGGAATTGACGTACCTAAGGCAGTGTTATAGTATTTTGAAAAGGCATGCTCTATCATACGGACAACATGAGGAAGTGAAAAATATGAAAGAGCAATTACTGTGCAATGATGCTATTTCCCGAGTAGTGTCATCAACATGAGGAACTTCCATTGTTTTGGCAATGACAAGAGATGGCGGCAACCTGGGGATATACGCTGATTACCGGTCAATACTCCAACGAACACGATCTCCTTACAAGACTGTCAATTTTTCTCCAAAATCGGTCTGTAAAATGCTTACGTTCAGATTCCAAAACATCCAGATTCGTCGGTATCGAGAACAATGAACACATCATGAGCTCTAGTCCAGTTCAATTTTTCCCGATTGATATACACGTATCACCCGGAGTCTTTCAAATAGCAATGGAAGTTGTGTCTTGGAGTTGCGTGGCGTCCTGGCGCACGGAGATGATGCCATTAT